AATTAAAAAAACGACAAAAGTATTCGATCACAATTAAAAACAAAATAAATAAAAAATAACAAAAACAATAACGAATAAGTGATAAACAATTAAACGACGAAAAACCAAATTAAGGAAAGGTCGACACAAATAAATAACAACAACAGCAACAAATAAAAAAAACACTAAGTAAACAAAGCGAGAAAAAATATTGCACAAAAAAAATACTTGAAAAAAGTTAAGAAAGAGCGAGAAAGAAAGAGGAGGGATGGGAGGGAAGGGGGAAGAGGAGGAAGGGAGGGGAGGGAGGAAGGAGGAAGGGAAGGGAGGAAATGGTCTGAATCCATCACAAGGTGGGGGAGGCACGTGTGAGGGGGAGAGAAGAGGAGAATAATTATACCAAGGAAGTGGGAGGTGATACACAGGGGTAAGAGAAGTTGGGAGAGGGAAGGAGAGAGAGGTAAGAAGATAGTTGGGGAAAGGGGGAGGAAGTAAGGAGTTCTTACGCCAGGGGAAAGGGAAGAGAGGAGGAAAACAGAGAGGAGGTAGAGGTAGGGGGGAGGGTTCTGTGGTAAGGGAAGGGGAAGAGGTGAAAAAGGAGGAGCAGGAAACGAGAGGAGAGGAGAAAGGGAAGAGTGAAACGGGGAAGAGGGGAAAAAAGATAAAGAAGAAGAATAAAGAATAAAAAAGGGAAGGAGAGAGAGAGACTAAAGGAAAGATGAAATAGTGCTTATACCATTCTCAGGCCTTTACTACCCCTACAAAGGGCCGAGTTGACATCCTACGACAGGGGCCAGGCAGAGGCGGCCGGAGGGGAGGGTAGGATGTGGGAGATGAGGGAAAAGGAGGCTGGAGGGGAGGGTAAAATGGGGGAGATGAGGACAGGGAAGGTGGGGGAGGATAAAGGGGTCAGAGGGGGAGGCAGTACACCATTAAAGAAGAGGGGAAGGAGAAGGAGGAGGAGGAAGAAGGAAGAAAAGAGTAAGGAGGAAGTGGAAGAGAACGAGAAGAAGAATGAGTAAAAGAAAGTTGAAGTAGAGGGATAAGAATAAATAACAATACCAAAGACCGAAAAACTAAGATAAAACAAACGAGAGAGAGAAAGAGAGAGAGAGAGAGAGAGAGAGAGAGAGAGAGAGAGAGGGAGAGGGAGAGGGAGAGAGAGAGAGAGAGAGATCCTCACTAGACTCAAGAGAGTTCACATTAGTCCACCACACACGTAGACAGTACAAGAATATTACAATGGTGAACAGTCGGTCGATTAACCCAAGAATACCCCGAGAAAACTGTTACTAGCTACACTGAGGTCATTATACAGTATACTTCAACATGGTATACCCCACACAGTATACCCCCACACAGTATACCCCAACACAGTATACCCCCACACAGTATACTAACTGATATACCCCCCCACACACAGTATTCCCCAACACGGTATACCCCCACACAGTATACTAGTATACCCCAACACAGTATACTTACAGTATACCCACACAGTATGCCCCCACAGTATACCCCCACAGTATACCCCAACACAGTATACCCCCACAGTATACCCCCACAATATACCCCAACACAGTATACCCCCCACACAGTATTCTAACTTTAGTATACCCCCACAGTATACCCCCACACAGTATACCCCAACATATCCCCACACAGTATACCCCCAACACTGTATATCACACAGTATACCCCACACAGTATTCCCCAACACAGCAGTATACACACAGTATATCCACACAGTATACTAGCACAGTATACCCCAACACAGTATGCCCCCACACAGTGTCACCCCCACACAGTATGCCCCCACACAGTGCCCCCACACAGTATGCCCCCCACACAGTATACCCCAACACTGTATATCCCCTGAGTATACTAGCACAGTATTCCCCAACACAGTGTTCTATACAGTATTCCCCCCAGCACAGTATACTGACACAGTATGCTCACAGTATGCCCCAACACAGTATACTTATACAGTGTTCCCCAACACAGTATACCCCCACACAGTATTCCCCAACACAGTATGCTTACACAGTATTCCCCAACACAGAGTATACCCCACAGTAATTACAACACAGTATGCCCCACAATTATGCCCCCACACAGTATGCTAACACAGTATGCCCCAACACAGTATGCCCCAACACAGTATACCCCCGCAGTATACCCCACACAGTATACCCCCCACAGTATACCCCCACACAGTATACCCCAACACAGTATGCCCCAACACAGTATACCCCAACACAGTATACCCACACAGTATCCCCCAACACAGTATACCCCCACACAGTATACCCCCACACAGTATACCCCCACACAGGATACCAGTATATATTTATTGAACGTAAAGTCAAGACACACTATCACTAATTTCCCAAACTTATAGAACAAAATATAAATAGTATTATTTTACATTATCTTCCTAAACCAACGGGAAAAAACGAACACCAACGAGCACAATTATTTAACCACATTAACACAGACTAACTTCCCAAAGTTAAATAAGACGTGGGAATGTTTTACACACCAGGGCGGGAATGTTTTACACACCAGGTCGGGAATGTTTTACACACCATGTCGGGAATGTTTTACACACCAGGTCGGGAATGTTTTACACACCAGGGCGGGAATGTTTTACACACCAGGGCGGGAATGTTTTACACACCAGGGCGGGAATGTTTTACACACCAGGTCGGGAATGTTTTACACACCAGGGCGGGGAATGTTTACACACCAGGTCGAGATGTTTTACACCAGGTCGGGAATGTTTTACACCAGGTCAGGAATGTTTACACACCAGGTCGAATGTTTTTACACACCAGGTCAGGAATGTTTTTACACACCAGGTCCGGAATGTTTTACACACCAGGTCAGAATGTTTTACACACCAGGGCAGAATGTTTACACACCAGGTCGGGAATGTTTACACACCAGGTAGGGAATGTTTTACACACCAGGTCAGGAATGTTTTACACCAGGTCAGGGAATGTTTTACACACCAGTCAGGGGTGTTTTACACACCAGGTCAGAATGTTTTACACCAGGTCAGTGTTTGCACTGGAGTCGGGAATGTTTACACCAGGGCGGGAATGTTTTGCCACCAGGTCAGGAATGTTTTACACCAGGTCGGGAATGTTTTACACACCAGGTCGGGAATGTTTACACCAGGGCAGAATGTTTTTACACACCAGGGCAGGGAATGTTTACCAGGGCGAGAATGTTTTACACACCAGGTCAGAATGTTTACACACCAGGCGAATGTTTACACCAGGTCAGAATGTTTTACACACCAGGTCGGGAATGTTTTACACCAGGTCAGAATGTTTTACACACCAGGTCGGGAATGTTTTACACACCAGGTCAGGAATGTTTTACACACCAGGTCCGGGAATGTTTTACACACCAGGTCAAGATAACACCAGGTCAGGGAATGTTTACCAGGTCGAGATGTTTTACACACCAGGGGCAGAATGTTTTTACACACCAGGTCGGGAATGTTTTTACACACCGGGGCAGAATGTTTTTACACCAGGGCGAATGTTTTTACACACCAGGGCAGAGATATTTTTACACACCAGGTCGGAATGTTTTACACACCAGGGCGGGGAATGTTTACACACACCAGGTCGGGAATGTTTACCTGGGTCAGAATGTTGTTTTACACACCAGGTCGGGAATGTTTTACACACCAGGTCGGGAATGTTTTACACACCAGGTCGGGAATGTTTTACACACCAGGTCGGGAATGTTTTACACACCAGGTCGGGAATGTTTTTTAAAAGTTTTACCTCAACTTAGTTCAAAGTTTTACACACCTGGGTTTAATAACTGGTAGACATTATTTGTTTAGTGTCGTCTCCCCAACGTTTTATCTCCGTTTTCTGTTCAACTTATTTTATTGACTGACATATCCGCACACACACACACACACAGCTATAATACCTTTTAAAGACTATATTTTAATTCTGACTAAATAGAGTTTGAATATATTTTTCATTATTTATTTTCCGTTATGATTGCTGAGTTGATTCGTAATTATGTGGTATTTATTTAATTTTAATTTGTATTGTGTCTTATTGAGTTCATAAGTGTAGGGTTATATAAGTGGGTGTAAGTGTTATTTAAGCGGGCGTAAGTGTTATTTAAGTGGATGTAAATGTTACATAAATGGGTGTGTGATTTAAGTGGGCGTAAGTGTTATTTAAGCGGGTGTAAGTGTTCCATAAACGGCTATGTGATTTAAGTGAGCGTAAATGTTATTTAAGTGGGTGTAAGTGTTATTTAAGTGGATGTAAATGTTCCATAAACGGCTGTGTGATTTAAGTGGGCGTAAGAGATATTTAAATGGGAGTAAGTGTCACTTAAGAAGATACATGTAATATTTAAGAGGGTTTAAGTGCCAAGTGTCATATAAGTGGATGAAAGGATACTAATACCATATAAGTAACTCCAAATACCAGGTGTCATATACGTGGCTATATCAAGTGTCAAATACATAAAGGTGCCAATAAAAGTCACCTAACTTGGCTGGCTATATCAAGTGGCAACTCCAGAAGTGACCTAATAATCACCTGCACCCAATTCACCCCAATACACATTCTGGACAATTTAGCACACGAGCTCCCAACGTTAACGCACTAAGGTCCGTTCACCATTGCTATCCCCGGGTTACTCAGCACCGCATGTTACCTGGACACAGCTTCATCACCAATGAGTTGTTCACCCACCCTCCCCCCAAAAAAAATCGTACCGTTAAAATCGATATTATTTTACAGTTGTCTCGATGAATTCTGATCTCACAAACTCACTATTTTCTTTCAAGATTACTAAATGCTCATCAATACTGTCTGTAAAATATTCCTCGTACATTTTATCTCTAACTAAATATTACTCAATATTATCTATACTGTATATATTTTATAAACATTGATAACTTACACACAGATACACAGGATTAAAATTAAAATGATAGATAGATAGATCACAGAAACACTCACGGCACCTACCAACTTTATAAATACGTTTTCCATTGGGCTCCGACAGAATACCATGCAACCGAACCGCTACCATAGTTACCCATACATTCCGTCTCTTCGCCCATACACGTTTTCTTTCATACCGGAACTATATTAGAGAACGAGAAATATAGGCATAAGATAAACCATATAATTATTATTTCTGTTATCACTCTTGTACGTTCAAGGTAAACTTTTATGTGTAGGTATTTTGAATATTTTTTGTTTTAAAAGGATAGAGAAAAGTTTAAAAATCAAAAGGGTATTATAGGTAAGTATGTTTTTTTTTTTTTTTTTAAGTATGGGGAAAAAGGTTTATAAAATCAAGGGGGGGACTTAGGTATATTTTTTAAGTCAATATATCTGTCTTATCTAATTAGCTATCTATGGTTCTATGTTTATATAAGTCTGCCTAACTATCTATTTATCTACCTTGTAAATGTTTGTCTGTATATATATCTTGTGTCTGTCTGTCTATCTATTTTGTAGGTGTCCATCTGTCTTTCTTGCCTGTCTGTCAATACTCGGTCAATTAACGAAGTTTACTATTGTTAATCTACCCAAGTCAGGACCTCAGGTACTCCCTAACTCACAGGTCCTCTCAAGCTTCCCAGGTCCACGGATACTCCCAAGTGACTTCCAAATCCTCCAGATCCTTTCCAGGTACTCCCAAGCCTCCCAGGTACTGCCCAGGTCTTAAAATATTCCCAAGTACTTAATAGGTCCTCATGACTCCCCAGGTACTCCCCAGATATCATAAAATACTACCCAAGGGACTTCCCAAGTCTCCAGGTACTCCTCAGGCCCCCAGGTACTCTCCAGGCTCCCAGGCACTCCCCAAACCCTCAAGTACTTCCCCATGCACTTCCTAGGTCTTCAGGTATTCCCCAGATACTTCCCCAGGTGCTCAAAATACTCCCCAGAACCCACAAATACTCCTCAGAGACCCACATTTACTCCCTAGAACCCCAAAATACTCCCCACGTCCTCCAATTACTCCCCAACACCCCCCAAATACTCCTCCAGGGATTACTCACCACATTAACGAAGTCCTGGAAGGTGATGGCGGAGGTGGAGGGAGTGAGAGCCTTGGCCGCCAGCTGCTCCCTCTTATGTAAGTCGACGGCAGCCACGAACTCCGGGTGGACGAGGGCGGTCCTGAAGTCTGGCCAGGGGATCTCACCGAAGCCTTCCAGGTCGAACTGTAGCGAGTGAAGGAGGAGAGATATTAGGGTGTGTGAGAGAGAGAGAGAGAGAGAGAGAGAGAGAGAGAGAGAGAGAGAGAGAGACGAATAATTATAAGAAGACAACTTAACTAAAACTGACCAAAAATGAATAAATTAATAAATAAATAAAATAAATAAAACACTCCACAATATTACCACTTAATGAACTGTTCACAGATAACAAACCTCCCCCCTTCTATCTTTATCTATCTATCTACTCCACAAGTGACCTGGAGGAAGAGATACTCCACTGTGTACACCTGCTTCCTTTACCCTGGAGTCTGACCTGTCCTCCTCCAGACCCCCCCCCCCTTACTACATCCCCTCACCTACTGACTGACCCCTTACTACATCCCCCACCTACTGACTGACTCCTTACTACATCCCTCACCCATTGACTGACCTTCTACCCCCACCATCGGGAGTTTAATGAGGTAAAGTAGTTTTATTATTGCTATTGTTGTTGTTATTGTTGTTATTATTGGTGCTATTGTTGTTATTATTGGTATTATTGTTGTTATTATTGTTATTATTGGTGTTATTGTTGTTATCATTGGTGTTATTGTTGTTATTATTGTTATTATTGTTATTATTGGTGTTATTGTTGTTATCATTGGTGTTATTGTTGTTATTATTGTTATTATTGGTGTTATTGTTGTTATTATTGGTGTTATTGTTGTTATTATTGTTATCATTGTTGTTATTGTTGTTATTATTAGTGTTATTATTGTTGTTCTTATTGGTGTTATTGTTGTTATTATTGGTATTATTATTGTTGTTGTTGTTGTTTTTGTTGTTATTATT